TGTGTGCCGGTGGGGGAGTTTTTGGCTGTTTGGCTGTGGGTCCACTGCAGAGTGCGCTTGGAACCAGCCATCTAGCTCCTTCGCTGCCTCCCTCATGTTGCGCAGCCTTCTCACCACCTCCTGCAGCTCAGCCACCTGCTGCGGAAGGTCCTCCACCTGGGCACAGATTTTGCAGGCAGGTCTGCCGCCTGTCCCTGCCCCAGGAGAGAGGTCTAGGCACTTCCTGCAGCCTGAGGTCTGCACTGCAGCCTCTCCCTTCAGCAGCTCCGTCTGGGTGGAGACACTGAATACACTGTAATACCACACTACGATGTACAAACAGCTCATAAATTTTAAGGATTTATGAAGAGATACAGTTCTGGTAGCTACTCTGCTGCCCATGGGTAAGAGGAAAGTACTGGATGCTGTTAGAAACATTCAGATTCTCCCTTCAGCAGCTCCGTCTGGGTGGAGACACTGAATACACTGTAATACCACACTACGATGTACAAACAGCTCATAAATTTTAAGGATTTATGAAGAGATACAGTTCTGGTAGCTACTCTGCTGCCCATGGGTAAGAGGAAAGTACTGGATGCTGTTAGAAACATTCAGATACAGCACAAACATACCTGAACTTGCTTTGATCTCCTAATACAGAAAGAACAAGATCTTGACAACTGGATGTACATTGTTTTAAATAGTGCTAACGTGCTATTATGCAGGTATTCCTCCAAGCATCATTTCATGAACTGTAAAACATATTGTTTAAAAATTGTATTCTGTACAATAGCAGGAAGAAGTCCTGCTTATACCGTGTTTTTTCCTCAATATAGTATAAAAGAGCTTCTTCTGCCAAACACAGAAAAAAATTCTCTATTTTTGGGTGAAGATGAATCCAGGTTTAAGGATGCAATTAATGAGAATTTCCAATTTATGAGAGTTAGAGATCAACGGTTTCAAGATCTGGCTTTTCTTCCTATACATAGCAGCATGTGCTTGAATGATAGCACATGTTGAAACAGCTTCTAAAAAGGCACTGTCGTGGCCTGAAGAAACCAAGAGAAAAAAAGCCCTCTCAAAGTTAATTGTACCTTTAGCTTTCAGTCAACTGGGTGTTGCAATGTTTTTATGTTTCGAGTACTTCATGCTATTTTCCTTTCAAATTAATTACACGTAATCAAGTCACCTCCCAGTCTTCCTTTATGAGCTAAAGAGATTGGGCATTTCAGCCTTTCATTGAGAGAAGGGCATTTTCCCTAGCCATCGAATAAAGTTGGTGGCTCTTTTTAGAAGTCTGCAGACCCTATGAAATGCCAGACTCTAGAACCATATACACCATTTCAGTATTAACTCTCACCAAAACTTTTATAGAAGTAAAATATCTCCTTATGCTTGCTCCTGCTGACGCAACCACAGAAATGTTCTTCTTTTTGCTGTTGTTGCCTTTGGAGATACCTGGACACTACATGCCTCCTCAGTCCCTCTCTGTCACTTCAATCCTGCAGATACGGCCTAGATTTCTTGTTCTGAGATGTGAAGTTGAAATTGATTGTACTAATGGGCATTTTAACTCATAGGTACGCTCACAAAGTCGTTAGGATTGCTCTGTATCAATAAATTTGTACGTCTTTTCAACAGTTGCTGATCTGTCCACAAAGTCTTATCAGAAAATGTTTTCTATATCTATTTCTAGCTTATTAATAAAAATACTAAAAAGATGCTACTGTTATCTTCATTGTTACACTTGGTCTCATTAATCAGTCTGTGAACAGCGTCCAGTAATTTCTGTATTTTAATTACCAAATCATACACCAATATACAGAAATCTGTTTTATCCGCGGTCAGGATATCCTCTCAGGACATAAACCAAGCGTTGCAGAACACGGCAGATGTATTTCCCTCTTAGTATGTAAACAAACCTGAAGAGTCCAAGTGAAGTCATCTTCCTGTGAAGCCATGCATGCTGACGACCACGAGGGACAGGATGTTTGCAGGAGACACTGATCCTTCTGGTAATACTAAGGAACTTATCAGGCGTCTGCTTAATTTGCCTGGCTCACAGGCTCAAGGCCAAATTAATTGCTGGATTTCCACCAGGAAATGGGTTTTTTTTCTTCCTGTGACAGGCTTGAGGAAGCCAGTGAGCTTTTCCTCCCCCTTTCCTCTCCTGTTGTAGGACCAAATATTGAAACTTACTGTCTCCTAAATTGTTTGGTACTAAGTTTTGTATGGTTCTAATTATCACTTAAGCAGCCAGAAAGTATTGCATTTGATACTGAAAGTATTGTGTTTGATACTGTCAAGAACAAAGATGTGAGCGAGAGTATCCGTCAGGCGCACGCAGTCTCAAATACCCTGCGGTCTCCTACATCAACGAGCAGTCAGGCCTGAAATCTGACATCACTCCTCCGTCAACAAAGAGCTGCGCCTTGCCCGAAAGAGGAAGACTTCGATGCCGTTAGTAGCTTCTGCTGATGTCAACCCTGTCAGGCCAGCCGCAGCAGCGAGACAGGGCAGTTCCCTCCCCGTCCCGAGGAGCCGCAGCAGGGAAGGCCACGGGCGTTTGCCCGAGGAGCTGCTGCCCACCTCTCCTTACACGGGACTCGCAAGGGGACAAGGGA